TTGAAAGGAAGATACTTCCAATATAGTAGCCCTCCGGAAATTTTGGTATCAACCGACCATCTCATGACTGGCGTATTATGATGGCGGACAAAGACGTCCTCAACTCAGGGATCCTTGGATTTTGGATATGCCGGCTTGTCCTCCCCTGGGTCGCTCAGATAATAGGGATCCAATGGTGTGTGTTAATACCCTTATTGATCCAGTTACAAAAAAACTGGAAGGTCAATAGTCTTCATGAGCTTTTCCCACCAAAAGACGTTACCCTGATTATGGGGATGAAACCATGCTTAAATCGAACAAGAGATGGATATAGTTGGACCCTAACTAAGTCTGGTAACTATTCGATGAAAACCGGTTATAAAGTTGCAAGAGCCCTCTCTCGCCCAGCCTACGACCTCCCTTCTCAGGGTCCTAGTATTACTGCAATTAAGGCGCAAGTATGGAAATTAAAAACCACCAAGTTAAAACACCAAGTGTTTCAAAGTGTTACCGGTTGCCTAGCAACATGTCAACGATTACATTTTTGCCATATTGGTAGAGAAAAAGAATGCCCTCGTTGTGGCGTGGAGGAAGAAACTATCAATCACCTCGGTGCCATTGACGCTACGGCGTGGGCTCTGTCAACTGTCGCTTCGGTGCCATTGACTTTTCCTCTACCCTCCTTATATAGTAATCTGGATTTCCCATTCTGGAGAGGTATGGAGGAAGGCGTCAACGATGATATCTTGAGAGTTTTTCAATGGTATATGTGGTTTATTTGAAAAGCAAGGAATATAAAGGTCTGAGAATTTCAGGGTCTCGCCACAAGACACTATTGATACAGTTCAAGAAGAAGCGTTGTGGAGGACTGCTAACTTAAAGGAATCCCCACCGATGGAGGTTTTGGGTCCGGAAGAATAGGTGGAGCCATCTCTTGATTCTTTTGTTTGCTTTATTGATGGATCGTGGCACGAAAAAGATGTAAAAAGTGGTCATGGTTGGATTGCTTGTCGCCATGGAAGAACTTTCCAGCTTGCTTTGAAATGCTCCCCGAGAAGTCTCTCTCCCCTCCATGCAAAACTAGACACCCTTTTATGGGTAATGCGAAGTTTGGTTATTGTTTCGACCGATAGGATTGAGTTTGTGATGGATTGCAAGGACCTGATAACAATGCTTGATAACGGCGAGGATTGCCCGACTTTTGTCTCATAATTCAAGGACTTCACTTATCTACGTGCTATGTTTACTTGTTCTAACATCACACATATTTCTAGATCATTGAATGTCCGTGCGGATAAACTTGTGAAATGTATCAGTTCCCGCTTGATTCTCTCTCGAAGAAAATCATTTCCGATAAACTAGTGTATGAGATTTGTTGGCAAAAAAAAGAAGAAGATAATGATCTTGAAGGACCGTAGAAGACTATTTTCTCTCACTCGAAGGCTAGATATTTGGGTGGGATAAGTTTTTTATCAGCGACAAATTATTATCTTTCTGGGTTTGAAGTTTGATCTTCATGATGTGTTGAAAGATTTTCCAGCAATATGTGGTTAACTCCGGTTTAGGTCAATTTTGTAGATATTTAATTTTAGTTTGTAATCTAAACCAGTTCTATTGGATTTTGGTTATTGTTTAAAAGAAAATTGTATTTCTATTTAATTAAATTTATAAAATTCTTTTATGATTTAATAATAATTTGACGATTATTTGAATTAGTATTAATATTTATTTGATAAATTTTACTATATTTCAAAATCAATATAACTATTTAAATTAATTATTTAATTATATATTTTATTAGTTGGTAGGAAATTTGTGAGAGGTGTGTTGTAGGAAAATAATAGAAAGGTTCCTACTATTTTCCTTCAAAATTTCCTATAAAATCGTTTCGTAAGTATTTGGTAAGAAATTTTGACCAAACTTTTCTACCATTTTTCTACGATATTTGTGGTACAAAATTAATCATTTTCTTGTAATTTTATGCGTTTAGCTCCACCCCAGATAGTGTTTACTCGGTTTTGGGGATACATATGGTTGTACCTTTCCACATAATGTTCGTTTGTATCTTTTTTAGTTTTTATCAAATAAAACTGTGGGAGGCATTTGTCTCCCACCCACAATAAGAAACAAAATGTAATTTAAAGTTATAATATAATCGTTTTAAGTATAAATATAACTAAATTTATTTAAATATATTGAATTTAAGAGTTTGATTTGGAAATAAAAAGTTCAACTCTATAATAGAGACAAAATGGATATCTTAAGTAAAGAGATAAAATAAAGATGAGTTGAAAATAATTTTATTATCAACAATGTTACAAAATTTGCTAGTTCAGAAAATGATCTTATGAAGGCGAGCATCTAAAATTTTTATATATTATAATTTTCAATATAAACAATTATCTTTTATTTTTACAATAATTAATATTTTTATGTACAAAAGAATAAATTCTATTATACATATAATTCTATTATACATATAAACACCCATATACTCACTTATTTGCATAATAAGATTTCGCTTATATTTTTTAGGCAAATAAAACAATTATACATTGTTTCGTTTTCTAATGCGATTATAGCAATTTTTGTGATTCATAATTGTTTTGCATAATTGCATAAAAAATGCTATTATACCATTATGCATTTTACCAATCACAGTCTTTTTTTTTGTCATCAAATAAAAAGCTAACTCAAATGAGCCAACTTGACGGACAATTGTTTACAAACTTAATTAAATGCGGACTGGAACGAGTTTTGCGTGCCAAGTAATCCGTTTTTACATTCAGATTTCTAGGAATAAAAGATAAAGAAAAAGATGAGAATTCTTCCCTATCATTCTTGATATCCTCCAGGTAGACAGAGAAAGTCGGCCATTCGTGAGGAGAAGACACCATCTTCACCAAGTCCGAACAGTCGGTAAGAAAAGCAACTTCTCTGAAGTCATGGCCAATCATGCATCGCATCGCCCACACAAGAGCTTCTACTTCCGAATGAAGAGGGGAAAGACTTCTTCGTAGGTTAGAAGCTCCCATCGTCGTGGAAAAATCATGTGCATGCTGACAAAACCATCCTAAACCTGCATACATATTTGTGGCCTTCCAAGACCCGTCAATGAAACAACGATAACCCGTAAACCTGGAAGGTATAGAACTCGGTAACCCAGGCATAACATTATCTCCTACGGGGCCCTCCCTCGTAGTATTGGAGTCATCTAATTGTGCATCATACCAAGTACGAGCTTCATTTGTAGTTAGCCGGACGACATCTGAAGGGTTTTTATCTAGATTATCAAAAACCATATCATTTCTAGACTTCCAGATGTACCACAAAATCCAAGGACAAAACCTATACTCCTCGTTTACTAGTATACGCAAAATATAGTCCATATTAGCAAAAACAGAAGCCGTAGGGAACCCAATAGGCCCTACTGGAACGTTCGCTAATGCCCAAGTTTGCCGAGCTGGTGGACAGTCAAAAATTACATGATTGACCGTCTCCATTGGCTCACCACATCGTCCACATCGCGTATCACAATTAATTCCCCGTTGACTCAAGTTGGCCAAAACAGAGATGCAACCTGTAAGTAAACACCAATCACAGTCCTAGTTGTAAAATAAATTAGGAGAAAAAAGAATAAATTGATAATTGGGAAAAATGTCAAAAAAAGCCCGAACTTTCAAATTTAGGACAAAAAAAGCATGAACTTTCGAAATGTCAATTAAATCATAAAGTTTGGTTTGACTTTTCGATAAAATGTTCAAGTTTCGTTGACTGGGCCATTTTGAGCACGACGTTAACTTTCCGTTAAAAAAAATAATAACGCAGTTAACTTTCGGTTAGAACCAAAACGACGCCGTTTAAACGTGGTCGTTTAAAAAAATATTAAGATTCTAATCTGACTTCGTGGAGAATCAAACTCACGACAATAAGTAGTTGCAACCTACAATCAACCACTGTCCCGCAATAATCTTTTAGTACCAAACACACAGCTGCTCTATATATATACACGTTAGATATATATTTATTAAAAGTAACAATTTTTTAAAAATTATACATATATATATATATATATATATATATGATCTCTAAATTAAATAAGAATCCAAGTTTTAATTGAAACTTCATTTTTAAACTCAATCAACCTCCTTTCAAATTTAAAAATTTACGAGTTTCAATTATTTTTAAGATAATATTTTAATGTGTTAATGGGTTTTGAAATTCAAATTCATATATGTTCTTTAAAATAAAACAGAATTATGGATTTAGTTAAAACTGTAAGTTAAATTAGATTTTATTTAAATAATTTAAGTTAACCCATTTTGAATTTTTAAATTTATGAGTTACACTTGAATATGTTTAGTTAACTTTCTATATAATTTTTAGTTACATTTTAGTAGTAAAGTGTGGATTTAAAATATGAATTAATGTATATGATTAAATGTGTTTTTTGGTTTAGTCAAAAATAAATATTATTATAAAGAGAGAGTGAAACCTTACTTTTATATATATGATTTAATATTTTGTTATTGTAATTCATTTCCTATTTATATATAAATTAGTTGTGTGGTGTGATGCTAAAAAGTTAATGCGGGCCAATGGTCATGAGTAACTTACGATTTGCAATAGCCTTGAGTTCGATCCTTACTGATTACAGATCTGTTAATATTTTTTTGAAAAAAGAACAATGTTTTAAAAAGTTACTAAAACGACATCGTTTTGGTTCTAACGGAAAGTTAACTGCATTATTATTTTTTTTAACAGAAAGTTAACGTCGTGCTCAAAATGGCTCAGTCAACGAAACTTGAGCATTTTATCGAAAAGTCAAACCAACCTTTATGATTTAATTGACATTTCGAAAGTTTATGCTTTTTTCGTCTTAAATTTGAAAGTTCGGGCTTTTTTCGACATTTTTCCCATTGATAATTACTGAAATATAAAAATTATTTAAAACTCTCTTTTTTTTTACAACTAAACTCTCTATTGATTATCCCAGCTTGTTTCAACGAACCCTAATTCTCATTCTTTCCTTACTTCCTTTTTTTTTTTTTAAATTAATTTTGTTGATAAAGAAATAAACTCTTCATCTTCGTCTTCGTCTTCGTCTTCTTCTTCAAATTCACTTCAATTTGGTGACAGTCTCATCTCTGTTTTCTCGAGGTTTGATGATTCTTCTTTGTATGTTCGATTCAATGTTTACAGCTTCTGGGTTTCACTTAACTTGGCGATCATTGCGTTTTTAAGTGTAGTCTGATTCTTAGATTCCAGATTTTTGCTTTATAAATTTGTAGTCTTTTCATCTTTTTAGTGATTGGGTACGATCTCAATTTTGATGACATTGCTTTGAACTCAATTTTGGATCAAAGGTTGTATTTTTATTGATCTTTTGATTATATTCTTTCGTGTAGAGTTTATTGGGGGACATGGTTGCGGTTTATTCTTCTTTTCTTAGCCATGGTAGTTCTTATTCTAGTAGAAGGAAGAAAGTTTCAGCTTTGGAACCAAATCGTTTTGGTTCAATGTGTATTGGAGTTTACAGTGACGATGTTTCAACCTCTGCAAGGGAATTAGCTCAAGATTACTCTTGTGAGAGGTGTGATTTTATTGTTTTTGCTTAGTTGTGATTTGTTTACTTGGATTGTCAATCTCAAAAAACTGTATTTTTGTGTTTTAGCTGTGGTGATTTGGTTACTGTGTCTTCCGCTTGTTGCGATTTTGATGCACTGTGTGGTATGGATTCAGCTTTGGATATGAGTTGTAAGTCCAATGGAGACTGCCGTGAGGGTCAGGAGGCTTCTGGTAGTGGTACAGCTTCAGGTCAAGACAAGAGTCTTCCGGGATATACTATGTATGCGAGCGGTTGGATGTACGGTAATCAGCAAGGCCAGATGTGTGGACCTTATACGCAACAGCAACTATATGATGGGCTATCCACTGGTTTTTTACCTGAGGATCTTCTTGTATATCCAATTGTCAATGGCTATCCTGCAAATTCTGTACCTCTTAAGTACTTCAAGCAGTTTCCGGATCATGTCGCTACTGGCTTTGCATATCTACAAAATGGAATGATAAATGTAGCCCCACCTGTTAGTTCATTTCCCGTTTCTAGTAACAATGCCACAAATCATCAAGATAAGACTCAAACACAGCATGCAACTTCTGCTGCTCATTTGATTTCCCATCAGACGTTGCCTCCACAGAGTAGTTCTACTGGTTGTGTCTCGGATCAGCTAAAATTAAATCAGGAGGAATCAGATATGTTAGCTTCATTCCTCTCATTGGTAACTCCCTTTAAACGGTGAAAACTCAGTTCACAACTTCATCAGTCATGCTGGCTCGAGTTCACATAAGAATTTTCTTTTATTGTTGGCGTTTCTGTCAGGGAAACGAACATGCTTGCTGGTTTCTGGTGGATGATCAGGCTAGAAATCATGGACCACATTCTATATTGGAGCTCTATAATTGGCAGCAGAATGGATATGTTTCAGATGCAGCCCTGGTAAGCTGTATTAAAATAGACTTTAAAAGATTGTGATTACTTAAATTCTAAGTAGTTACAATGATTTTTAATTTTAATCCTGATGCCTCTTTGTAGCCTTGCCTAGCTTTTTTTTTTTTTTGCATGCATCTTCTTATGGGAGGAAATTTGTGTTACTTTTCATCCCTATTTCGGAAATCTCCCCACCTATACTTTCCAGTTTCAAGCTTATTACTTACTATTTTAGAATACTTGATTAACATATGTCTTCTCCACTTCTTCTCAATGCTTCAATTGTTTTTTGCAGATACGTGATGGTGAAAATAAGCTTAGACCAACCACATTAGCATCATTAATTGGTGTATGGAGGATGAAATGTAGTGGTACCAATTGTGATGAGTCAGTGTCTGGCGTGAGCATCATATCCGAAGTTTCTGAAGATCTCTCTGTTCAGCTTCAGAGAGGAATAGTGAATACAGCTAGAAGAGCTCTGCTTGATGAAATCATTAGCAGCGTAATTTCAGACTTTCTTAAGGCCAAGAAGAGTGATGAGCATCTCAATTCTTATCGACCCAGTTCTGCTGCCCATGTTGAATCCACATTGGTAACTCTTTTTATATACGTGCATTTATGTACACATGCGCACTTTTCATGCACATACATACAAATATAAAACTTAAGGGCTGTCATTGAATTGTACACTAATATGTTAAAGCTTTGTTTGTGCAGTCTCAAGTTAGCAATGGGGAGAAAAGTATTGTCTCGACCTCTGAAACAACAGGCTGTAAGAACATATTAAATGAGTGGGGTCATAGTAGTATAGCGGCAGACTCGCTCAAATATACTAAATCTGTTGGTAGCATTGAGAACTTTCAGACATCTTGCTCAGCTGTATGTAGAATGCTTCACAACCATTGCATGCAAATCATGTGGAATGCTGTCTTTTATGATACTGTGGCAACTCATTCATCATCTTGGAGAAAGAACAAACTTTGGTTTCGGTCTCCTGTTATTTCAACTGTTAAATATTTCAAGGGTTCCCAGACAAAGTATTCAGACAAACCTGAAGCAATTGAGACTGTGAGCTTGCTTCAATTTTTCTACGACTTCTATTAAATGAGTGTCATTTTTCTCTTATTAGCTTTGCTCTCTAATGAAATGAATGTCATTTTTAATGTTTTGCAGTTTACTCGTAGGGTGGATTCCTCTTCCTCCAAAACTGCTTACTTTAATGAACTTGACTCTAACAATGCAGCCAGTGTTCATGGAGTCTCATCTAGAATAGTAACCTTATCAGATAGTAATGGGATGGAAAGCATCATAGCAAGCATATCAGAACATGTTGAAAGTGAACTCTTTCTGTCTCTTAAAGCTCACCTGACTGATTACACTGGCATTCTCATTGAAAATGGAACAAATACTTCTGTACAAGATGGCAAAATTAATGAGGTAATGAAACAGAATCCCTTTGTGTGGGAATTTTTGAAGTTTTCTAAGGAAAAGTCATCCTTTCTTGTTCTGTCTTGTTGGTGGCATGCTAGCAAGTGGGGGTTGAATTAAAATTGTTGCAAATTGCTGCAGGAAAACCCGTCATCTGGTCATGGTTCCTTCCGGGCTGGTGGAAAGAAGAATGGCTTAAATGTGGTTCCTGCGAGGTTGCGTTTTTCCAATGATATCAGTGGCTCTCAGAGATTGTCGCAAAAGGGAGAATCCTCTAAGCAAATCATATCTGAAGATAGTATTGCTAATATTTTTCGTACAACATTGGAGACGTCGGGCAGTCCTGTTAATGATGAACTTGATCCTCTGGATATTCATGAGCCACCACCACCTGGATGTGAAAGCAACATTAATATGCCATCTCTGTGCCACAAGTTTCGGCCTGTAAGGTCCAAGGAATCTATTCCTGAGATCAAAGAGTATGTTGCAACAGCTTTATGTAGACAGAAGCTGCACAATGATGTTATAAGAGATTGGAAATCACTGTTCATGAAGTTTTATCTTAACGAATTCCTTGCTTCCCGGAAAGGAAGCCATCCACTTTCTCGTACAAAACCATTGGCACTGAAGAAGCGCAAAACTGTTACTCGTAACAAAAAACTATTACAGTCTAATATATCAAATGGGACAGCAGAAAAGCCGAGGAAACAATGTGTCAGTTCGTCTGAGAAAATTCTGGTTAAACGATCTAGGAAGCTGTCAGATTCGCATTCCATGAAAGAAGCCCTTAAGGTTGATACAGCCAGTACAGATTTGTCAGTTCGGAAACCTAGTCAACCGAAGATAAGAAATGACCGGCGGGATCATTGTATGTAGTTTTCAGACTTTTTCATCCGAATAAGAGATACTTAACTCTTACCTTAAATTTTTCTTCTTATCGTTATGCAGGTATCATTAAGGATGCTACGAAGTTTGGTAAAGAAAAGGTTGGTGAAGATGCTTTTAGTAACGTGAACTGTGATAAAAGCCAAGATCTTGAAACGGCAGATGAATTTGATGATGAACTCCTTATAACAAGACTAAGAAGTAAGATTTCTATGTACTCTATAGGTATGATTCTATGTTGATATCAGGGTTTATCTCTCCTTCTTTCATGTTATTTTTGGTGTATATTCTATTAGGGATATCTAGGAATAAAACAAAAGAGTTAAGAGGAAATCCTGCAAAATCCTGTGAGGAGATTTCAATGTCTGCTGAGGAATCTGAGGAAACTGTTGACTGCAAAGATCATGAGGAAAATCTTTCAAAGAAGTCTTCGCATAAAGTGCAAAAAGGTAACGACTCCTTTATTTGTTTCCTACACATTCAAATTCGTGTCGTTGACTTTAAGCTCTTGAGCTTCTTTACCACCATGCAACCCAAGCCTACTGATATCATCCTTCTAAACAGCAGCTCATTTATCAAAGTTGAAGAGAAAGAATATGTCAGATGTCAGGGTCGAAGATACAAAATCTTGCAATGGAGCAGTCAGAGGTTTTAGTGAGATATCTGGGGAAGATGATACAGAAAGCCGTGGTTTTGCAACCGGTGATACGGTTCCCCCTCCCCACCTCAGCAAGAGACGGAAAAGTAAGAACCCGTTGTTTTAATTCCCAGGTTTTAAGGATGACTCCTGAAAATTCCTTGCTAAATTATTTTCTCCAGAAGATGCTGCGAAGCACAGTCAGGATATGTCAATCCCTACTGGTAATCCTGAAAGAGTCACGGAAGGAAAAAAGTTTGTGGAAAAGTCTGCGTGCAACATATCACAGAACCCCCGTAAATGTAAGTGTCTAGCGTCATACTTCATTGATGTATCTTTGTGTTGCTTCACCCAGGCTACTTGATTGCGTGGGGCACATATATTAATTGTTCAGTACTTTTTCATGAAGCATCACGATCCTCAATTCTAAAGAGAAAGCACATGTTGGGTGAAAAAGTACCCAGTGCTATTGTAAAGCAAAGCTGTGATGTTGGAAATGAAGAGAAGCTTCCCTGCAATACATCAGATAAGCTGCAAAAAGGCAACTATTTCCTACAAATTCAGTTTTACCTTCCATGGGTTTGTATTTATTTTTGTTATATATTATTTACCTCAAACTACATGTATTTGGTTGGTTTGTGTAGGAGTTTCAAAGAAATTGATGCTTAGAAGGAAACATACAGCAGATCCTTCTCCCATTAAGGATTTGTCATTGCACGATGGCAGGCCTAAGCCTATTGCCTTGAAACCATTGGAAAAGTTGAGTTCGAAAACAGGCAAAAAAAAGGTGTTAATGTCAGTTACAAAGTCTGATGGATGTGCACGCACATCTATTAATGGTTGGCATTGGCATGCATGGTCATTAAAGGCTAGTGCTGAAGAGAGATCCCGTGTTAGGGGAAGTTCTTGCGTACATATACAACATTTTGGTTCCAAAAGTAATTTGACTCCAAACGTTCTTTCTGCAAGAACTAATAGGGCAAAAATGCGTAATCTTTTAGCTGCTGCAGATGGGGCTGATGTCTTGAAAATGTCTCAGTTGAAGGTGATTAAAACATAAACTAGTATTCTCTATGAACTACATACGTATCTGTAGTGTAGTATTGATCTCTTTTTTTTCGTATTGGTGACAGGCTAGAAAAAAACGTTTACGGTTTCAACAAAGTAAGATTCATGATTGGGGTCTTGTTGCACTTGAACCGATTGAAGCTGAGGACTTTGTGATCGAATATGTTGGAGAGTTGATACGTTGTTCTGTAAGTATGACTTGTTTGATTATGTGTTCCATTATGTAATTCGTAAGTGGTAGTTGTTACAGTGTCTTAGCGTCTTTGATGAATCTTGTTGTTTTTTTTAAGGACAGACTGTTTACTTTAGTCGCGACTTTGGTTCAATATGTGTAGATATCTGAGATACGTGAACGTCAATACGAAAAGATGGGAATAGGGAGCAGTTATCTTTTCAGGCTTGATGATGGCTATGTGGTTAGTCACCTATGCAATACATTAAAAATCTTTACTTGTCTATGTTTCATTTTTTTATGATTGACAGTTCTGATACAATTGTTGCTTACCATGAGTCTAGGTTGATGCCACAAAGCGTGGTGGCATAGCGAGGTTTATAAACCATTCATGTGAGGTAACTGTATGCAAAGTTTTTCGATAATATGCTAGTTCGTTTTGTGGATTTGGGGTCTTATAGAAGACACTGTGCTTCTGCAGCCGAACTGTTACACCAAGATTATAAGCGTAGAGGGTAAGAAAAAGATATTCATTTATGCTAAGCGGCATATAGACGCTGGTGAAGAAATAAGTTACAACTACAAGTTCCCATTGGAGGACGACAAAATCCCCTGTAACTGTGGAGCTCAAAAGTAAGTTCCCTCAGTTTCATGTTTACTTGCTTTCGTGCTTTTGTTGCTTCCTTCTTCGTATATCACACTGTTCTGTTTTCTCCACATGTATATTTTTTCGTAATTGAGGTTTCCCAGTGTTTTTGCCTTTCTTTAAAGTATGTATCGAACTTGTGACCAGGTGCCGTGGATCGCTGAACTAAGAGGGGACATGGTTCTTAAAGTTGTGTGCTACGCGTCGTTATGAGATATTTGGGATTAGCCGAAAGAGAAGTATGAATCTCCGTTTTGCAACGCAGCAGATGAGTTCTCCTCTCTTTCAGTTCAAAACTGTAACTATCTTTTTCTTCCCATATACTAACACTTAGATATATAGCTTCATTTTTTTGGTTGATATATAACTTTATTTTCCTTTTTGTTGTTGTCGTCAACAAGAAAAGATATACTCAAAGCCAAGTTAATAAAATCTAATTTATGATAATAACAAAAAATACATCCTTGTGAATTCAGTATATAAAGGAATGAATTGTGATTGTGTGTTGTCACGAAACAAAGATGTTAAATACTTATTAAGCAAAATATAACTTATACAAAATCAGGTCTTCGTTGGTTTTGACAGAAATAAAGGAACAATAGAGAGATATAAGCTCATTGCTATGGCTCAAAGAATGCAAAGAGGTTTTATTTTTCTAGCATTTACCATTTTATTTTCTACATTTTGGTTGAAATTTCTATGTTATGTTTGATATTTATACCAAATTTAAATATTTTATGTTGATTTGCAGGAATTATAAAATAAAAAGATTAGCAATCACAAAATCCCATTTCCTCAACCATCATTGTCTTTGGGTATTATGGTACGTCTAATGTTATTTTGTATTTAGTTTTTCATATTTTGTTGCTTACTTACTATTCCAACTTATTGGACATTGTGGTTTTGGTTTACTAAATGGTTAGACCCAAAATTGCTTCATCAGAATTTTGTTGGAACTGATTCATTAGGAAGCATCTTGTGAACAACATCAAATTGTTTTGCCATGAATGAGATTGTAATAAGTTTCAAGTGTTCAAAGCCCATAATAGCTACGTCAACAACATTCTACAAGTCTCGTGACATAAAGAAGATTTCATTTGATAAAATTTGAAGTTTCTACGTTTGCTATTTCTTGTTTAAAAGACTAAGCATGTCTCTTACATTTGATGTGCTTCATCTTGGGAAATATGTTATATATCCACTGATCTCATTTCTTGTCGTTTGGGATTCCATTAAAACTCTCTTTGTACAAACTTTACTTCGAATTAATTTGTTATGTGAATCGAAATAATCATATGCTTTAAAATAAATATGTGAACACAATTGTAGAAAATACAAAAGAGTATGGAATTATTGTCAGATATATTTGAAGTTGACTTGCAAATTTTCTTTGTTTTTTACAATGTTTTTGAGTTTATACAGAAGAGATGATTACAATGTTATTGGTGATCTTGCCGGCATCGAACCAAAATTAAGGTTGCCAATTCCATGTTTCAATGTAATCACTATATGCAAGAAGATTGGGTTCATGATTATCTTATTTATCACTCCATCTTTCAAAGAAGCTGTGGATATGTTGAAGATGCAGTTCCAGAACAGTTTGCTATGAAAATCAGGAAGCTGCAACGCCTGAGACCACATCAGACGCATGTGACCACATCAGACGCCTGTGATCACATCAGACGCCTGTGATCACATCAGACACTTGATGTTGCTGACATGGACTCGTAAGATGCAGCTTAATAAGATCATTTTGCCAAAACAATTTTTGGCAACATTCATGAGCGACATGCGGTCGACGCATTCATGAGCGACATGCGGTCGACGCATTCGTCTTCATCTTCTTAGATTTTTATGAATTTTGTTTTTTTTTGGAACAATTTCTAGTTTCAAGAACAATTTCATGTATTCGGTTTTTAAAATATTCACTGAAATTCTAAATTTAGAAATTTAAATTTTTATGCATTTTTGTTAATTAATTTGATTTTTTAATTTACATAATTTTGCTAAAATTTATTTTCTTTTCAATAAAATCTTAATTATACATCGGTACTCCGTCGGTTCGTTAGAGGTAATTATATAAACTTTAGGTACTGCAAATGAGAAAATGGTATGGTTATATTAGGTGGCAGCATTCATTTTGCTATATTGATCATTATTGCAAATAATGCAAATAATATACAAACAATTCAAATATTTACAAACACTATATGAACAGGTGTGGATCATATATTCACATATAAGTAGAATTATGAATTAATTTTCTTTTCAAAAACAATAATTTGGAATTCCTTGAAGGCATTTTACATGTATCTTAGTTTTTTTTTTCTCCTTTTCAAAATTTACACACAACATTCATATATTACCATTTTTTAAATAAAAAATATACTAATGAAAGCAGCAAAAGAAACACATCATTTATGTTATGAAGAGAAAAAACTTTATTTATTTTTCTTCAAATATTAATTTTAAAACATATAACCCATAGTTTTCGCATATTCAAATATGATTTACAAAATTCTGAATTTTACAGGATGTGAAGCAACTATTTAAGCAATTGTTATCACTTTTGAAACTCCAAATATATTGTTTTCATGCGTTGGTGGACATCGTCCAACACATGTCATATTTTTGTGGCATTTCTCTTGCATTTGATATTGTCAAACCTATGCATATATAGTTTTTAAATGGTTGTTGGGTGTGATTATGGTTTTTGGTTTTCGGTGTAACTTTGGGGCATTCTTTTGGTAGTTTGTAAAATCTCTCAAAATGTAGATCCTTTAAAATCTTATATTTTAGGTAAACTACTTTTCTCAAAATTTAATAGTTATAAAATAGATTTTCGAATAAACAAATTACCAAAAACTATTTCAAAAACCACAACCACTCAAGTACACCGTTGGTAATTGTCAACGGATCCATAGTTTCTAACCAATTTCCTTCTTCCCGGTTTATCCATACCTATTCATACAAAACAAATTTAAGTTTTTTTTTATTAAAGCCACTTTGAAAATGAAATAATAAGAACATTAACTAAATCAAAGTTTTTTTCTCGTAATTAAATCACAACCACTCAAGACCAAAATCTAATTTATATTAACTGTGAAAATATTGTATAATAATAAAATGTAGAGAGAGCGAGAGAAACCAACATGAGAGTAAAAAACGACGAAAAGTATGAACAACAAGTTAACACTATATATATCAATAGGCTTACATATACGCTTCAGTAATGTTTTGAGTTTCACATCATTTGAGTCTATATATGTTTTATGCAGTCAATCATATGAATTGCATTACATCTATATTTTCATATTAGGATTTTCACATACAATGAATGTCATTATCAACAAATTTTGAATGATTCATTACAAAAAATATAGAATGAATGCATTATTAACAATTTTTGAATGATTCATTACCAAAATAAGAAACTATTGTTCTTCAGAACAGTTTCAAATATTAAAATAGTAATATATAAAATTTGGAAAAAATATTGTAAAAACCTCAACTTAGCAAACATGTTGAAAAAAGCCTCAACTTTATATGTGTTGAAATAAATTGTCAACTTTGATTGACTCTACAATTTTTCATAATTCTTCGACTTTTTCAAATAAAACATGTCATTAAGTCAACTAACAAACCAAATTTAACGAGGTTAAGTTAATACTAACAATTTTTGTTAAATTTCAAAACGACGTCGTTTATTGTATAAAAGAAAAACACAAATAAACTAAGTGTAATTAATTTCCCAATTTATTCGTAAACTTTAGTTAACTTTGTATAAAGCACATCATTAAGTCACAAACAGACTACAAACATGGGATTGAACCACTCACTTTGAAGAGTAAAGGTCCATATTTAACCACCAGAGCTTAGGACTTTATTAACCACGTATACTTCAAACAAGACAATGAAAAATTAAAACTAACATCTCATAGACTAACACTCCTTTATATTGGAGTTTACTCAAGGTACAACAAGTAAAATACACTCAAAACATGAACTATCGTACATTTTGAAAATTGTATAACTTATTTGAAAAAGCTACATATTGTATTTGTAGACTTGTATTACCTTAAAACCATTAGCTCCACAACTATACTATATGGACCATATGGTTATTCTCAGTATTCGTTTACTTGGTTTCACATGTACTGACTTGCCCATAAACACTTCCCAATGATTTTATAGATGTATGAACATGAGAGCAAAAAGACTCGTCTAAATCAGAGTCACAAATTACATTTACAGCTGCATAATAAACTTTGCACCGTAGTATCGACTCCAGAAAAACAAAGTTCTACATTTGTCACTATTTGTCTTTTTCTTTTTTTTTTTTTCTTTTCTATAAATATGAAAGAGACAAGAGATGAGTATGGTGGCCATTTATTAGCCTTGATGGTGATCACAAGAAAGTATACAAACCTCTAATGTCAAAAGCTCTCAGGAAAACCTCTGATGAAGCTTCTCTCCGTGACAACGAATCTGATGAACATATCGTATCTATGGGGCACATATGTCTTCACCTACATTATCTTACAAGCCACACAATGTGGATCAGGTTGTTGGTCTTGTGGTCATCGATGAGCCTCGTCCCACTGGAACAACTCCTGAGAAAGCATCTTCTGGTTCTTCTTCTTCTGATAGAACTGCAGAGTAGAGTTTTCGTATATTAATACCCAACTGATCTCAAACTGGTTTTGCTCAAGAGACAGTTACACTTACCAGTTGTCTCTTCACCAGCCTGCGCCCCAGCTATTCCGATGCAGGAGTACAGAGAGTCCTCGTCCACTCTTAATTGATTATAAGCGAGGTATATGTCCTCGATCGAAGCAGCTTCGTATAATGAAGTGAGTTCTTTGATGCATGACAGTTCCTAAAAAAATCACAACCATCCCATCAGAAGAAGTCAGGTCAGAAACAAAACAGTTAAGAATATGCAAGTGAGTATCACCTTCCTCGGAACAGATGAGGCCTGCAAGTGAGCTAATAAATTAAGCCAATAGGCATTGGATTTGAGTTCAGCTTCATGTCTCATAAGAAGAGTTCGCTTTGCCTGTTGATTTACAAACAACATTACTTTCCATAAACAACTAAAACAATCTAAAAATAGCTAAGCTGAGAAGGCAAGAGAGATAACTAACCCTATCCAACTCCCTAGGGGCAATTTGGTTGCTATGCAAACCTCTAAGAACGCTCTTACAGGCATCAACCGCTTTGTATACCTGGAGAGAGTATTGAGAAACTTGGTGAAGAAAACTGTTAAACAGAAGAGTAGGTCATTTACTGTAAGCTAAGTACAAAGACTGCATACCTTGCCGGGAGTCGAAGTCACAGATATCACATACCACCCGAGATTCAGCCTATCAAATAGGTTTAGCTCAAATGATACATCATATGTCAGTCCAAGAGAGTCTCTTACTGTCGTGAAAAGCCTGCAATGATTCAAAAAAGTTGTTTTTCAGTCTGAAGCAAAAAGACAATCAGATGCATAAAACTGCATTCTCTTTAACCCAAATGTTTGTTGACACATGATGAAGGCGTACATATTCTAAATAGTGCTTCATTCTGGTGGTTAGTTGCTATTCAAATTCTAGACAAGTACCAAATCAGAGTACAATAGCAGCAAAGAACTCAGCTTTCACATAATATGACACCATTCAACAATAAGAGTTACCTAGAGTTTATGATTTCTGCCAGAAGACCCATTGAAATTCCAAAGAAAAGAGGGTGGGCACGAAGTTTCCTTTGCAAATCTCTGTCTCCGCCCTCTAGCAACTGTTCCTCCGATTTCGAAAGTCCATCTGCCATTTCAGAAGCTCCTTTAGAGAATTTTCCATGCATGAAATATATTAAGCTACTTTATCTCAGATCTAACCACTAAATTCATTAATACTACCGATGATGAATTTATGGTGTATGAGACAAGCTCAGAAGTCAGAACCAGACATATACACAGTTTCCACTAGGTTGAATATTGTGACACCATATGACTCCTAGTATTATGTCAGTCCGTTAGGTGTAACTTACCATGAGCAACAGTAAGTTTGCTAACAGACTGAAACAGGTCATCCCCGTCAACTGTAAAGCCCCATCGATTTGGCGCTGGTCCGGCAATGTATGCACATGCCCTCTCATCAGTATCCTTCAAGAATACCTGTTAAGAGATCAATATGTCAAATATCCTGCTTGAATCATATATCTAAGAGGATGGGGAAGCCGAAGAGAAGAACAAGAAAGTCCATGCATTACTGCTTTGTTCCGTACCTGTTGAAATTGCAAGCCAGCTGTTGGTTGGCGAAAAACA